TATATTCATCAAGATATTTAAAAATACAATAATTCTGTATAAGCAGAACTTTAAAATAGAAAAATCCCATCTTTGTCAGTAACTTTTTCGTTAAATTTTGAATCTTCATTTGGAATTTTCTGAAATAATGGAAATACATTCCTGGGATCTTCGCATACAATTATTATATATTATTTATGCGTCGTAATTCGTAAATGCAGAATCTCTCTATCTGGTTTAACTTTAAGTTTTTAACTTTACTTTTCTGTTTTAAAGTGGGATGGGAATTCAGTGTCAATTAAACACTCTCATAAATATTTAACTAATCTTTGTGAAAATGCATTTATCTTCATCTCTTTTATCTGAATTATAATTCCTGGTTTACCTCTGTAGATCTTTAATTAGTTGAGGTTGAGTTTGATTAATTTATGCAAGGTGTTATACTTCTCTTAAATATTCATTTAGTTTAGGCATCTTATTTACAGTTAGAACTTTACTGCAGTGCAATTATACCAACTATAGCATAAAGAGCAAACTAGGTGCTGAATTTTGGATTGGAAATTCATTTAAAGGGACTGGTGTTGTAATTTAAAGTGACCCACTAGAGTGTTCCAATAAACATGGGAATAAAAGGGAGTGGCCGGCAATAGACGGTAGTTGAACTGAGAATGTATTATTGTGGAGAATTTTTCTTATGAATCTTTTGAGACCTATGAGGCTTTTTTACTGTGCATATTTGTTCAGCAAGAGCGCAAATTCAATCTTTAAAATCCGCATAGATTTTTCATTTTTGAAAAATTTAGAAATGAAACTATGGTAATCTCTGAAGAAAATTTAGAAATGAAACCATAATCTCTGTAGAAAATTTAGAAATGAAACTATGGTAATCTCTGAAGAAAATTTAGAAATGAAACTATAATCTCTGTAGAAAATTTAGAAATGAAACTATGGAATCTCGGAAGAAAATTTAGAAATGAAACTACAGTAATCTCTGTAGAAAATCTGTTATAAAGCATCTTACATTAACACTTCTTGAAACAAATGGCACCTCAATTATCTGATAACAACCTTCTCAAAGTTTATCTGGAAAACATTGTATTTTTTTCTTTTATATCACTTCTCTAAATTTGGAAAAGGTGGCTTATGGGGAAGGGTGAGGGGGGGGGGGGGTTAAGGCGACGTCCCCACCGGACAAATTAGGGAGAGGGGCTGGACAACTTAATCTGGCTTAAAAAAATTTCCTCCATAGAAATTACCAAAAAATAGTGGGGAGGGGGGGGGGGTATTTCTACGGCCTTTACAAGCATTTTTTTATTATTACCTCACCTGGAAAATTTAATAGGCCCCTGAAACTTGTTTTTTTTAATTGCATTACTTATTCATTTTTATTGAGAGTTAAAATGATTCATTACATTTAATTCTAGATCTAAATTAACTTTCATTTTGATTATTCCTAATTAACAAATCTCATTGTTTGTAAAATGAATTAAACCTTTTACAACTTGTGTTTTCTGTAGTGTACCAACAATTTCAGCCATAAAAGCAAATAATTAAACAAATATACAAAATATGCAGTACAAAACTAAAGAAATTCAGAATATGCAGTACAAAACTTAAGAAATACAGAATATGCAGTACACAGCTTAATAAATACAGAATATGCAGTACACAAACTAAATATAAACAGAATATGCAGTACACAAACTAAATATGTACAGAATATGCAGTACACAAACTCAATATAAACAGAATATGCAGTACACAAACAATAAATATTAATAGAATATGCAGTACAAAACTAAACAAATACTGAATATGCAGTATACAAACTAAATACAACCATAATATGCAGTACACAAACTAAATATAAACAGAATATGCAGTACACAAACTAAATATGTACAGAATAAGCAGTAAACAAACTAAATATAACCATAATATGCAGTACAAAACTAAACAAATACAGAATATGCAGTACAAAAACTAAATATAACCGGAATATTCAGTACACAAACTAAATATGAACATAATATGCAGTACACAAAATAAACAAATACAGAATATGGAGTACACAAACTAAACAAATACAGAATATGCAGTACACAAACTAAATAAAACCAGAATATGCAGTACACAAACTAAATATGAACAGAATATGCAGTACACAAACTTAAAATGAACAGAATTGTATGAACCAGTTCAATAAATGCATAGATGAAGCAGGAACTGAGTTCAAACCCTGAAGATTATCTGTTCAGTATTTCTAGAAGGTGTTGGAAAACATGAATCTATGTAAGAAAGTTTCTGAAAAATAACACCTGGAAATAAAAACTTTGGGGAAAAAGTCCCAATTTTCTGAAGTCCTAGGACAAGTCCTGGAAATAAAGTCCTGAGATTTAGATTCCTGTGACTTTTTTCCTAAAATAATATGACATCTGCCAGGGGTGTTTTTGTATCAATTGCCCCTTTTTTCCATGGTTGTAAACATCCTTTGTTTCCATGCATTTTCCAAGAGGACTTTTTTATGGGGATGTTTTTGTAAAAAAAATACTGAAACCAGAAAAAAAGTTCTGGAAAATAAAGTCTTAAAAGTCTTTTTTATATAAAAATTTAGGACTTTATTTCCGTAAACTTTTTTTAGAGAACTTTTTTGCCGGTTACCGGAATGCAAACAGCAGTCCTGCATACTTTCTACCGGGGTTCACATACACTTTATATTCGGCAATGTTTTTATAAATTTAAATAAAATATAAAACAGCAGTAGTATCTTTAGTTGTACTAGTTATGTCTTTAGGAACTCCCCACTTACCTGATTTATATCGGGTATAGAATATGCAGTACACAAACTAATCATAAACAGAACTTGCAGTACACAAGATAAATATAAACATAATATGCAGTACACAAACTAACTATAAACAAAATATGGAGTACACAAACTAAATATAAACAGAACTTTTAATACACAAGATTAATATAAACAAAATATGCAGTACACAAGATAAATATAAACAGAATATGCAGTACACAAACTAAATATAAACAGAATATTCAGTACACAAACTAAATATAAACAGAATATTCAGTACACAAACAAAATATTTTCAGAATTTGCGGTACACACACTAAATATAAACTAAAGATAAACAAAAATGCTTATAGCACTTGTTTTTATTCATCCCAGGAACTGCGGCGGTACAATTTTTTAAACATATTGAAGTATACATTCCTTATGCAAAAAAGAGAATATGCAGTACACATTTACAAACTAAAGATTTTTGCCATTTAAAACTTAATTTAACCACCGGTAGGTTTATAATATTTTGTTTAAACCACCTGTAGGTTTCTAATAGTTAATATGTATACACCCTGCAGGTTTCTAATAGTTTATTTATACACCCTGTAGGTTTCTAATAGTTTGTTTATATACCTTGTAGATTTCTAATAGTTTATATATACACCCTGTAGGTTTCTAATAGTTTAACCCTGCAGGTTTCTAATAGTTTATATATACACCCTGTAGGTTTCTAATAGTTTAACCCTGCAGGTTTCTAATAGTTTATTTATACACCCTGTAGGTTTCTAATAGTTTATATATATACACCCTGCAGGTTTCTAATAGTTTATATGTTTACACCCTGTAGGTTTCTAATAGTTTATATATATACACCCTGTAGGTTTCTAATAGTTTATATATACACACCCTGTAGGTTTCTAATAGTTTATATGTACACCCTGTAGGTTTCTAATAGCTTATATATATACACCCTGAAGGTTTCTAATAGTTTATATGTACACTCTGTAGGTTTCTAATAGTTTATATGTACACCCTGTAGGTTTCTAATAGTTTATATGTACACCCTGTAGGTTTCTAATAGCTTATATATATACACCCTGAAGGTTTCTAATAGTTTATATGTACACTCTGTAGGTTTCTAATAGTTTATATGTACACCCTGTAGGTTTCTAAAAGTTTATATGTACACCCTGTAGGTTTCTAATAGTTTAAATGTACACAGGAAGTTAGGTTTTGATATGGTTTCATAATATTCTATCAAGATAAGACTCATTCCTCCTTAATTAAAGTCAAGTTTAATGTGAATATATATATCTACATATATACTTTGCTTGTCAGTCTGTAATAGGGTGTAATTGTATCCAATAAACGTTAAAACGGCTGAAACGATCGAGCCCAAATTTTGTGTGGGACATCACGTGACCCCAGGGAAGGTTTATGGATGATCAAAATTTCAAAAACTTGCTTCCAACAAAATTCGATTTTCATTAAATTTTGAAAATCAACGAATATTTTTTAAAAAATCCGCATCTTTCTGTTTGTTTTTGTTTTACAATGTATACACAGAGAAAATGTTCACAATTGAAATAGAAGTTATACTTATATATATGAATGTCAAATAAAAATCAATATATCTACAGGAAAAGAATGTCGACGTCATATTAAACGATATTCACATTGTTCAGACCGGATTCACAACGGTACCGATAAAACTATCGTCTGACCCAGATATTCTTGTTTTCAAACTGAAAATTGATTTATATAAATCGGGCATCGCTCTCTTTTTAAATTAATGGGTACTTAAAATAAGTCAACAGTCCCTTTAATCCTAGTTGATTTTAGTCTGATTTACAAATCAGCTGCGTAACTAAACTAAATAAATGAGATGAGAGTGGGTTTGATTAAAATATTTTAAATATAAAATTTGTCTTGACAAAATTCTTATTTAACTTTGGGTTCCATCATTTACATATATTTAATCTCGTAGATCCAGTCTTAACTTAAACTTTAAACATAGTCTACATTTTTAAACCAGGATTATTCAAAGGAATTGAGTCTTTGTCTAATCCTTATATCTTTGCAACCTGATGTTGAAAACCTTTGATATTTCAAAATATGAATCATGTTAGATCAGATAGTCTAAGTTTGAAATAAGGAGTTTCTTTATCATTCTCATAAGCTTATAGACAACTCTTTCAGAATCTATTTTTTTTAGAAGGAACCATAACTTCTCATCAATTCAGAAAAAATGGCGTCAAAACGAGTAATTGTTGAAACAGAAAACGCTGCTGCTCCAGTCGGACCTTACAGTCAGGTTCCTAAACCAATAATTCGGAATTTTTCTTCAAATATTATTCCTTGAATTGAAATTGCTGTGTCCAACTGTCTCAAACTTTAATTTTCTATAATCCTTATATCTTTGCAGCCTGATGTTCTAGACCTTTAATATTTCAAACTATGAGTTCTGCTGATCAAGACTGAAAATGTCAAATTTTTACATCATCAGCTTGCAAAGATATATGTTGTAGGAATTAAAAAATTTGAGTTTGAGGCAAGTAGTTTGTTTCTATCCTCAAACAAAGTTTTATATTTATTGTTTTACATTCATTTTTGTAATTTTTACAATTAAATTTAAATAACGTTATTTTGTCTTTGCCACAAAACTCAAATTTTCTAATCCCTTTATATTTGCAACCTGATGGTATAAGCCTTTGATATATCATACCTAGATTATTTGATCTAACAGAATTTAAAGTTTGAAATATCTAAGATTTACGACATTGAATTGGACAAATATAGGCTTAGAAATTTAGCTTTTGTGGCAAACACTGAATTCCTTTAGGCTGTTGTTGTTGATAAAACTATGTATATATATCTGGAACTTTAGGCTGTTGTTGTTGATAAAACTATGTATATATATCTGGAACTTTAGGCGGTTGTTGTTGATACAACTATGTATATATATCTGGAACGTTTAGGCTATTGTTGTTGATAAAACTATGTATATATCTGGAAGTTTAGCCTGTTGTTGTTGATAAAACTATGTATATATATATCTGGAACTTTAGGCTGTTGTTTTTGATAAAACTATGTATATATATCTGGAACTTTAGGCTGTTGTTCAGAAATTTTAGGCTGTTGTTGTTGATAAAACTATGTATATATATCTGGAACTTTAGGCTGTTGTTTTTGATAAAACTATGTATATATATCTGGAACTTTAGGCTGTTGTTTTTGATATAACTATGTAAATATATCTGGAACTTTAGGCTGTTGTTTTTAATAAAACTATGTATATATCTGGAACTTTAGGCTGTTGCTGTTGATAAAACTATGTATATATCTCGTACTTTAGGCTGTTGTTGTTGATAAAACTATGTATATATCTGGAACTTTAGGCTGTTGTTTTTGATAAAACTATGTATATATATCTGGAACTTTAGGCTGTTGTTTTTGATAAAACTATGTATATATATCTGGAACTTTAGGCTGTTGTTGTTTATAAAACTATGTATATATATCAGAAATTTTAGGCTGTTGTTGTTGATAAAACTATGTATATATCTGGAACGCTGGGGGTAGATCCAAAAACTAAAGAACTAGGAAACCAGAATATTCAAAAATGAGTATTTAACTCTATTATACTTAGTGATGTGCCTTCATCAGTTGGGTTGTTTTTTACCTTTATTTTCTGTCAGGGTTAAGCTTTGCTTTTACTTTGCTTACACATAGGGACATTTTTGACCCTTACAGAAGATGAATGCAAAAAACGATCCGATAACGATGCAAAAACAATGCAAAAACGAACGTGCTGGAACGACCCAGCAACGGTCCAATATCGATGCAAAAACAATGCAAAAACGAACGTGTTGAAACGACCCAGCAACGATCCAATAACGATGCAAAAACAATGCAAAAACGAACGTGTTGAAACGACCCAGCAACGATCCAATATCGATGTAAAATCAATGCAAAAACGAACGTGTTGAAATAGTTTATTTTTACACGCACCTCTGCACCTTTAGTAAAAGTAAATTCAACCTAAAGTCTGACCACGTCAATCTTGTTGCACCGACTAGTCCTTTTGAGTGTCTGCTTTATTAACCCAATGTCCGTGCGATACAGTACAAACTGGGACCGGAAAGGTTGACCCGGCTCGGAAATTCAAATGTACTTCGGCTGCCCGTGTTTAGGATAGAGATATTGTAAAGTTTTATAAAAAGCAAACTTTAACATAATACAGATTTTAAATCTTGGAAGTTTAATTATTTTAAAATATTATCTAAACGTATTTTAGCGTCTCAGATTAACAAAAAGTTGTGAACGATTTATTTTTACCTTTTTAATAAAGATTCAAGAAAATTTTCAACAAGAAGTGTGCCGCTGAATTAATAAAATAAAACAAAGAAATTATCAAAGAAAAGATTTAAAACTACGATTAATTTTATTTGAACTCATTACTACTATTATAGCATTTTGATAAAAATCAACAAATTAAAGAATAAATAAACAAATGTTATGAATAAAGAAAAGAAAGTATGTTGAAGAATATTTTCTAAATATTCCTAATCCCTGGAACTTGAGTTGCATACATAAATAGACAAAATACTAAATAGAGGCATCGTAGATTAGTTTTAAGTCTATTAAAGGGACTGTTAGATTAGTTTTCAGTATATTAAAGGGACTGTTAGATTAGTTTTAAGTCAATTAATGGGACTGTTAGATTAGTTTTAAGATTATTACAGGGACTGTTAGATTAGTTTTAAGTCTATTAAAGGGACTGTTAGATTAGTTTTAAGTCTATTAAAGGGACTGTTAGATTAGTTTTAAGTCTATTAAAGGGACTGTTAGATTAG